TTTCTTCAACCGAACAGAACCATATAGTGATAAAAAAATAAGATTACTGAAACAAAGTCTACACATTAATTCAACTTACGCAAAAGGTAATTCATACCTGCATTGCTTGGTGGATAGAAATGATAAAGTACATTGGCTCATTTTTGTTAGGTTTGGTACCATCCTTTTCTAATAACTAGACAATGCATAGACCCATCTGTACCAAACCTGCCAAACCAGCTTTTCATCAATCATACCATGAAAGATCCTCAGTTTATGTCTCCTCCATACTGCACCAACATTGACAGCCATTTCCTTTGATTGCAACATGACTCGATCCTGCTCCATACCATCCAGTAGGACTGAGGCAGATGCTCTTATTGTTTTCATCTGCTATTGCCTCAATAAGTGGTCGAGTAATGAAGGTCGAGTCTGGGGCATCAGGCTCATAAACAGTGACTCTTTCTCCATCCTTCTCTACCTCGCTCTTGATGACTGCAAATGCAGCACGAAATGCTTTGTCTGGTAGCAGGCGATCCCTTACGCTTTTTGTTATGGAGATGTCTCCCATTCCATCAGCACCATCCTTGATGGTTGTCAGGACATAATGGTCATTATCGGGATCAATTCCTGCTTTCTCCATTCCCGCTGCAATTTCAGCATCCAACTCCACCAGAGTCTTGGCAAGGGCGTGGGGGTAGGGCCAAGCCACACCTTTCATGTTGGGGAAAGGGGTTTCTAACCCTGGATGGTCCTCTTGATTGAGGTCCAGGGGTTCAAAAGAAACCTCCCCATAGTGAACATGGGACTTCCCAACCTTAACAGGTGTGTGATGAATTACATCTCTTCCTCCCTCCAACCTGAACAGCACATTACCTGGCATGAAGGTCTTTTCCAGCTCATTCAGGACATGTGGAGGCTTGAGGATGCTGACGCCCTTGGTTCTGAATTTCTTGTACTGTGCCTCATAGTGCGACTTCGAGGTTTTTGTGGTCACTCGCATCGCGAGGCAATCTTCTGCAGACAAGTCATTTGTCTCCTTGCTCCAGGATGCCAACACCTGTTAGGGGAAAAACGGGAAAAGCAGGCATTTCACAGGCCTGAAAGAAACCAATACAAATTGTATATATTACATAACCCTAATCCCATGCATGACAGCAAATGAATACATCAAACTTCAGCATTACCTCTCTACACCTGGAGTCACTGCATTCCTTCAGATTCTCACACAGAAGAAAGTAGAGGACATCAGTCTAACTTTCTTTCTGCTTCTCACAGAAGTCTGTTATCCACTCAGATGCCTCCTTCGTACGCCTACGGGCATGATCCCGTCTGACCTGGCTCAAACTGGCCTTCACACTCCATATGTGCTTCTTTCCATGCGACGCCAATCCTGGGTCTGGAACTGATTTGCCGAACAAGGATCTTTTGGCTGTTGCATGGCTTGATTGAAGTGCTGAATCTTGTGAACTGGTTGATGGCTGGTCTGATATGCCACTTGTTGAGGGCTCTCCAAACCGAGGGTGGATGTGCGATGTGTATGCAGCATGAGCACTGCACACCCAGCAAGAAGCATCATGGGCTGAGAAGTCCCGCTTCTTTGGAAGCGTGCCTTGGTACTGCTTTCCTTGCTGCATGGAGCTATGTGCACATTGCATTTGTCTCCTGTATAAAGTAGCAAGGCAAAAAAAATTCAAATATACAAGAGATGGCATTTCACAAACATCAAATATGCAATGAAAATGGATAACTAAGCAAGCTCAAATCATCTGTATTTTCAAAAAAGAAAAATCATTAATGTCATGCAAAAGCCGATCCAATACTTATAATAAACAGGTAAAGTCGAATTTCGTTACAAAGAAATCTGTTAGTTTTAAGCTCCTCTGAAAAGGAACGCATTCTTGCGGTCCGTGTCCCTTCATTTGTTATGTTTTTCTTTGTTTTTCAACTCCTTTTATAACAAAATCCTTACATAACAAAGTAATTTATCTGGTCCTTGCAAGTACATGTATGTTACAAGATTAGACTGTACTTATTGAGCACTTTTAACACTATGAAAGCACTTCACAGAAAAAAGGTGCCCCCCATAGATACATAGCTGCCCTGTAGGCTTTGCACACATTCTTTGTCATTTCATGAGAACACAGAATGGTTGGGTAAATGTACATGTACATGTATGCACTTGTACTGTACATGTATTGTACACACATGCACACAATACACACTGGAATTGGTATCCTTGTAGAGAGATTGTGTTGTTCCAATTGGCATGGTAGTGTACCCTGGCACTTGCTCATTGTTTACTACATATAGGCCTACTGGCACCATTGTTTACATTAAATGCCCTTGTGGTCAGCCAAAGAATGTGAAGCTAAGCCAAATCCCCTGTTGTATAACTCATTATATTACTCAGGTACATGACACTACACTGAGAACAGAGTTTCCTCAAACCTAACAACCTTTTTCAAACATGTTAATAGCATGTCATTTGTATAACATCAACCTTGCTCATGAACAGGAATATGCCTTACTATTAGCCATCACTTCATTTCAAATGATTTTCAATAGATTTTGGCAATAGTGTTCAAAAAAAATTGAAAGTTTGCATGATTCAGACTTTCATTTTCTTTACTACCGGTAGCAAAAACAAAGCATGGAAAAATTACAAGAAATGCAAAGTCAGAAGAACTTAAATGTATTATGAGCTGACTATCACCTGCATTTGTTGCAAACAATTGACGGATGGATGCCCTCTTGCTCTTCATCCAAATTCAGCTTGTACACGGCGAGGAGTTCTGTCCTGTACCTTGCCAAGCTGGATCTGTTTTTCGATGATGTAATGACCTGCACACAGATCCTGCACATCATACCTAAGGCACCGATGTGCCCCTCCATTTTCAACCTGTAAAACATGAGGTGAAATGTGTTCTAAAACAATGCACAAAGCACAATGTACTTCTAAATGTTTACGTGCATATTATTATTAGTGTTTTAACAAAACGTCACATGTTCAGATTTTAGAAACTTGGCCCATACACTTGGTTCAGATGGACTTTCTAGAATTGCGCCGAGCCTAATTTACAGCAAGTTTTCAATTAAATGTTCAACATTTACAACAACGACCAATAAGCCACAAAGAGTGCCAACAGGCGAAAGACTGACACTTTGAGCATGTTTCTAGACGCTCGAAACAACGCAACAACTACAGTATTTGGTTTTAGATGTCATTTTTTTCACGAGCCACTGCAAATTTATGTACATGTATGACAATAAAGAAAACTAACTACATGTACATGAATCAATTCTAGGACAGGTAATTGTGATAGAGATGGTACAGAATAACAGCCTTATTAACAGTCCTCAGTCATCCAACAGGTGAAGGATTGAGGACTGTTAGGGTAAAGAATGTCATAAGGAATTACAACTTCATTTATTGAAGCCCAATCCAAGTTGACTCAAATACTGAAAAGTCTTTGTCGCCTTATTCTTCATTAACATTTTACTGCACCACACGACATGCAAGATATTTTAAACTAACAGTTTATATACTGTAGCCTCTTTGGGTAAACGAAAAATACATTCATGTTTCACCATTGGTTTTGGCTCTCTCATTTGAATCAAGCACGTCTGTTGCTTTTCCTCCAACAGTAAATAAAAAAAGATACAATTTTCAAAGAAAAACCTCCTGACACAAACACTGTGACACCAGGGTTTCAATTGTTGACATCATGGTTTTCCTTCGAAAAATTCAGCAGGCCTACCATGCACAGCTGCGTGAATAAACAAAAACAAGTTTGGAGCTACCCAAATCGCTATTTATAATTTTTAGCTCAGCACATATTTGGAACACCTGCCTGATGAGACATTTCCATTTTTGATAGCAATTTATTAAAACAGGTTGAAATAGGCCTCAGAAACCAAACGGTCGTCTCCGGCGACAATGCAATTTCATGCATATTCACACGCCGCTCTCAATACACTCAACCCACGCTAACAACACCCGTCTATGATTATTGTATTTGACACCCTACCATGGAGAAATAAAACACCTCCATGACCCTACCATTGTACCAATCATCCTCGGACGGTGCCGCTGTTTCACACTAAAATGACAACAAATATATGACTTACCAAGATTCAAATACCACCTAGAATCCGCGAGTTCGTGCACCTCAGGCTGATATCAAAGAAATGGGCGAAGAAGTCGAAGGAATGTACGAATTTGAACGATCTTGGTACCATTCGAAAGTTCTTGCTGAGCTCTGTCGAAGTGACAACGACTCCAAGTACCGCTGCGCAGTACATGCGCATGCGGAACAGTTTCATTCATGAAATGTGCCTTTTTTGGTCAGCGCGATAATGAGCTGATCGTGACGCCCTCTTGCGGCCGCTCCGAAATAATTCGTGTAGGGAATTTTTCGCTGTATATATTTCTGATGTCTCATAATCCATAAAACTGTTCTTCATGGCTTGTTGTGGTCTCTCCACCACTGCCAGGACCCATGTAAACAAGAGGGATGAATTTCAAACCCAGCCGCCACTACTGCCTGGACGCCGCCATTTTGAAATATAGGTCCAGTCCACTAATTCAAGCCCCATTGAAAACAGTGTAAAATCAACACCGTTCCGAGGGCCCATAGCATGCACGCCAACATCCCTGAAATTTCTGAAACACAAATGAAATACTTGTCTGGTCACTTATCTTTCAATTTCTTTTCAATTTTCTATGGGTTAACCAATTACATTTTAATTATTCCCACAAAACAAAATCACCCCCCAAAAGGTGATTTTTCTGAAGTCTGATTGCAGCCATTTTTCGACTTTCTCGGGCACTTAGGACCATTTTTAACCGTAGTTTTCAGCCCTTCTGCTCTCATATGAAAGCTCAAAGACCCAGGGAGCTGATCCTGGCAACGATTTACACAATCTCACCATTTTGGGGGCCAAATAATCTCCTTTTTCAAAAGATACTGTAGAAGGGGGCACTTTTAATGCGAATGAGCTGGCCAGAAATTCTCACTTGAATTAGTGGTCTGCACCCCTATAGTCAGTGCGACTGATGTCGGACCGAGAGGTTCGTGGTTCGATTTACGCTCGGCGCACTATACTAATTGTTTAAGCAGGAATTTTACTGTCATTCTTTTCTGAGGATCTGGAGATTTTTTCTTTGTAGGGAAATAAAGTCTGAAGTCGCTCAAAGTAAATTCTCACCGGCGTGACCTGACCTGAGATGACGCAGGAATAAATTATCAATCAACCAATAGCATTTCTCAGGCGCCTGAGAAATAAATGAAAGGAACAAGGTATTTGGTGCTTTAATATTCACCAACACTTTCAATCGTTGGATTGCCCTTTCTACATGGATACGAAGTCTGGCTATTTTCCTTGTTTTTCTTATTTCATTCATATTTAACCTTTTCCCTTTTGAATTGTGCCATTTTTGGGTAAATGGAGAGCAGTGAGTACCACATTCTTCCTTAAAAGCACATCTTCAATATGGAACCCCCTATTGGCCATCACAGCATCTCCATCAAGTTTCTCGAGCAGTCCACTCTGCTCCGTCAGATATTTATCCGACACATTTCCTGACCAGAGGTCACTCACAAAAGTAAATGCCCCAGCAGGAGAAATTCCGAACAATACTTTATATGTATTATGACTTTTACACTGTGAGTAGGTTTGTATTGCTCGTCTTTGTTTCTTCACTGTAAAAACAGCACTTAGAGTTTAAACACATTTCTAAACACCCTTATCTAAACATGTGTCGCTTTAAAACGTGTGGCAAAAGTGGTTGCAAAAAACGTTTAGAAATGTGTATAAACTCTAAGCGATGTTTTTACAGTGAATTGGTCTGTCTATGACGAACTGTGCACAATCTTTTACTACAAGTGTGTTAGGAAAATCCAAGTCCCTTGGCATCCATCCCCATATATTTTCTCGTGATGGCCAAACTAGTAGGGCTGGCACAAGTGTCTGGTGCATGAAAGTGGTGGGAGAATGTGATAAGTCAATACACAGTTCTTTGGTTGAGGACTGTGTTTACCGTGACTGTTTTATTCCACAACATTTTATCAACCACATTGGTGAAACGAACGTAACCGAGGCGAACTAGTTAAACTGACTACATGCGAATGAACATAACCAGCTACTGAAGAAAGTACATGAGGTAAAACTGAGGAATCATATGACTGAAGATGACTGACTCTACTGTCTGTCTGGTCTGGTCTAGGCTAGTGGGGCAGTACTTAATATACGCATGTATACTGTAGAAACAGGATGTCTTAGATGTAAGAAACACTTTAGGAAAGGAAAAATTTAATTATGTCTTGGCTTCCCTATTTCTCAGAAAGAAGACTTTGAATGAGCAACAGAGTTCCTTCAAGTTAAAACAGGGATCAAGTAAGTTGTCTTACAGAGAAAGTTTCAGTGGCAATGACCGATAACGTGTGTGGGGGCGGTGAAGGTCATTTGTCCTGTATAAAACCATATGGACTACGCACATTGCATTGGCATTCGATGGGTGTGTGTGGATACAAGGAAAATGATGATTAATGTGTGAAGGGGATGTGTACAGGAATAATCATTAAGATGTTCAAAAATTAATACTAAAACTACTTAGTAAAAATTGACTAGAAAAATTAAGACAAGCTCATAATTAAGAAATGAAAATCTCAAAATGCTACAAGAATGTGTGGCAATTTAACGAGCGAATGAAACAAAGCGTGGATGGCCAATGCACTCTACGTCCGGAACGGGTTGTTCGCGTGGCGTCATCTGTAGTGGTCTCAGTATTAGCTTTAAGAGTTAACTGGAGGGTGAGACTGACCAGGACATTTTGGAACTGTAGTGTCTTGAGAAGAAGTGTCAAAATGAGCACTCTTGAGACGGTCGATGCTGATAGTGTCTGTGCGATTGTTCAATTCGACAACAAAGTGTTTAGCTGAACGGCTGAGAACTTTGTACGGTCCGTCATAAGGTGGTTATAGGGGTTTGCGCACAGAATCCCGACGAATGAACACATGGGTACATGAATGTAAATCGTCTGGAACGCTGGCTTTCGGCCGTTGTTGACCGCGGGGTGTAGGTGGCCCGAAGTTCATTCATGGTGCGTTTCAGGCGGTGAACATAGCTCGTTAATGTCGCTTGTCGAAGAATTCACCAGGCAAGCGAAGGGTAGTGCCGTAAACAATTCAGCTTCACTGTGATGAAAATCAGATTTGACTGCTGTGCGGATCCCAAGAAGAGCAAGTGGTAGTGTTTCTTGTAGGGATGACGTTGAGCAGCGGTATACGCCTTAGGCAGATCATGTAGGGTAAATCCTCCGTGCAGGTCGGAGTGCGCCCCCCCCCACGCGCGTGAGGTGGGCTATGCCAACTTCCCCGGCGACTCCGTGTCGCTGGCCGTGTGCTCTTCGGCCTCATGCACATTTGCAGGTAAAAATTCTCTTTCTCTTCCCGTCTCTTATTATAAATTAGCTGGTGCACATAAACTGGAGGGTCTCAAGAACTATGCCAATGTCATGATTTTAAATTTACCTCCTTAATATTAAAGTGGGTTTTTTTTATCAAAGTAAATCTTACAAGTTCGGGAGATTTCAACATGGCGCCGTCCATAGCCACCATTATACCTCCAACTATACTTTTACGCAACTGTGAACTCGCCTGGTTCCTGTTGTCCATTCTGGGTTTGTTAAACTAATTTTGGATTGGAAGAATATCATTTTGTATGGTGTATGTTCGCATTCATTGTTGATCGTGTGTATGCCGATGTTTCAGACAGTTAATTCTTCTGCAGTAATCTGTAGTAAACTTTGTCTACGGTGGATAAATAGCGCCCTCACGATTTAGCGGTGCCTGTAACTCAGATAAATCAGGTTCTGCTCTGAAAAGTTTATACTAGGAAATTTCATTACAATTTAATTCCTGGTGGAATGGTTTGATAAATTACTTGCAGTGTAGTGTATGGCTTTTATAAGAGTATGCTGCCCTGAGGCAAAGTGTCAATTTGGCTTGCTGAATTTAGACTTTACCCAGTCCCCTGGCTCTCAGCTGTGATTTCAAGTTGTATGGCCAGTCTGTTGTTGAACTTTACATGAACAAAAACTCTTTGTGTATATGTAGTAGGGTTTGTTCCTTGTTTATGCATTGCAAACCTCAACAGCCACATTGTATTGTGTACTTATGAGTTTTCCTTTCCTTTTATTTTCTTTTTCCATTGTTATTTGATTTGATGCCAACTTCCCGCCTCTGTGTCGCTGGCCGTGTGCTCTTTGGCCTCACATTTGCAGAATAAATTACAGTCAATCCGAACCCACCATTGTCCATCGACCCACGATCAGTTAGGGTTGTGAATTGCCCCGCCACATGTGCCAGAAGTGGGATTGACTTCAGATTGCAAATTTTGTCAAAAGCGCCGGAGGTGGGCTATTTGGCTTAAAACAAATCAAATCACATCAATTTTTGCAGGTCTCCTTCTGATTCAGGGCAGACTCGCGCTGCCCTTGTTCTTCTTCAGCTGCTCGTACTTCGATGCAGGCCATGGCTTCCACAGTCAGAGTCCAAAGTGGAAACCAGAAACCTTTGCGATTCACATTGGTGAAAGGCAGACTCCCGCTGCAGTCACTGAGGGGATGCTTTGAGGGAGCCAGTGGCCTTTCTTATACTGAAGATGGAGAGGAAATTGTACTGCCAAGAGTGGACGACCTGATTCTGCCTCCCAATGAAGATTGGCAGGACAAGACATACCTGGTCATAATCCTTGACCCAAAAGAGACGAAGATCCCAGCAGTGGCCCACGTACCCAGTCATGTAGTAATGGCACCCGAGCGTAAAATACCCATTTTCGAAGGCCGAGATGAGTCCAGTGGGAAGTGTGTTCCAGTGGACGAATTCATATCAGCAATTACATTTGCCTTCGACCGTTACAATG